CGACGCCGACGACGACGACGACGACGTCGACGACGACGACAACGGCGGCGACGACAACGGCGGCGGCGAAGACGACGACGACGACGATGGCCGCGGTCTGCACTCCTCAGCCGCAACCCAGCGGATACAGTGCGCCGCTGCTCGGATGACCCGCGCGGAGCGCGCCCCACTCGATCGCGTCGCCGTGGGGCCGCGCCGCCTCGGTGCAGGGCACGGACACGGTTGTCGCACGTGACGGGTGCCAATCAGCGCAGATCCCCCATCCTGCGCCAGGCAGGCCCAAGATGAGATTGACTCGTTCCAGAGCGTTCTGTCGGTCAGAGCGCTTTGGGACGCCCCGGGACGGCCTTTGCGCCCGATTCGTCCTCCAGACCTGCTCTCAAAGGTTCTTGGTTTATCCTCGTCAGAACTTGTCTTCACCATCCTATCTCGGGGATGCTCAGACGGTGCGGTGACCACACCGTGGGGTGAGTGAGTGGGGATATGTGGTGACCGCACGGGTTTGAGACTCCAGTCGTTCTGAGGGGAAGCCTCGGGCAATTGGGGCCTTCAAGGTTCCAAAAGCGCGCGGTGACGGACCGTGCGGGGAGGTTGTCGTGGATCCCGCGGTCGCCGCACAGTTTGTCATCGCACCGTTTTTCGGCCGCGCGCTGATGGGTGAAGGTGCAGGAGAGGGGGGCGTGCCTCGTTAGAAGGCTCAGAAGGCCTCAGGCCTTCTGAGAAGCTTCTCAGGCCTTCTCGGACGCCACAGAGGGCTTCCCAGAAGCCCCGCCGCCTTTGAGAAGCCTTGCTTTGAGACCCCCGATCCCTTCGTCGTACGGTCGGACCGAGGTATAAAATCGAGGTCGGTTCTGCTTGTTGGATGTTTTTGTTGCGCATCCTGGGGGATTGTGGTCTCGAGTGGTCTGGGGTGTTTTGGCCGGCGGAGGGTTTCATGTTCTTGATGTGCATTCGAGCATCTGATTAAGAACCCTTCTCCCAAGAAGCTGGGCCAGCGTTTCTTCGCCAACTGGTCGTGAAGCTGGCCCAACTTTTTCGGTACGGTCGCCAAATATTGTTTTTGATCGCATCTCCAGCTGTTCTTCGGACGGGGCTAGGAAGAAGATACGTCCGTTCCAGAGCGTTCTCGACCGTTCTCAGAGCGTTCCCGAACGCTTTGAGAGAAGGCCGAGGCATCCTCCAGAGCCGCCGTTTCTTAGATATTCTCGACTCATCCTCACCCGAATCGATTCTCGTCCTGAGTTTGTCTTGGGTCTTCTGTACCAGGTCCGACCCTGATCCACAAAAACTTGGTCTCGGGGTGCGACAGGGAGGGTGGGGGAGGAGAAGGAGGAGGAGGAGGAGGAGGAGGAGGAGGAGGCAGGGGGAGGAGGAGGAAGAGGAGGAGGCAGAAGGAGGAGGAGGAGGAGGAGGAGGAGGAGAGAAGGAGGTGGCAGGAGGAAGAGGAGGAGGAGGAGGAGGAGGAGAGGGGGGAGGTGGAGGAGAAGGGGGAGGAGGAGGAGGAGGAGGAGGAGGAGGAGGAGGAGGAGGAGGAGGAGGAGGAGGAGGCGGAGGAGGAGGAGGAGAACGAGGAGGAGGAAAGGAGGAGGAGGAGAAGGAGGAGGGGAGGACAGGAGGAGGAGAGAGGAGGAGGAGGAGGAGGAGGAGGAGGAGGATCAGGGGGAGGAAGGAGGAGGAGCAGGAGGAGGAGGAGGAGGAGGAGGAGGAGGAGCTCGAGCCCGCGGCGCCCGCCCAGGCCTGCGCGCTGAGGCACCACGCGGGCCCCGTGGGCGGCGCCTGCGCGCCTGGAGGCCCTCCTCCGGCGGCCGAGCACCTGCAGGCCTCTCCCCGCCCATCTCCGGAGGGGGCAGGGTCAGTGTCGTCGTCGCCGTGAGGAGAAGGAGGAGGAGGAGGAGGAAGAGGAGGAGAAAGAGGAGGAGGAGGAGGAGGTGGGGGAGGTGGAGGAGAAGGGGGAGGAGGAGGAGGAGGAGGAGGAGGAGGAGGAGGAGGAGGAGGGAGGAGGAGAGAGGAGGAGGAGGAGGAGGAGGAGGAGGAGGAGGAGGAGGAGGAGATGGTGGAGGGGGAGGAGGACGAGGACGGGCGAGGAACGGCTGGCGCTTCGCCCTTGCGCCTGCGCCCCCGGCGTGTGTGCCCCCGAGGCCTGCCCGAGGGAGTTGCTCTCCGACGGAAAGGCCCCGCACGAGAATCTGTGCCGCTTGCCAGAGGATCTCTCCTCTTGCCCCCTCCACCTGCACCCTCCTGCCTCCTCCTCCTCCTCTTTCCTCACCCTCCTGCCTCCGCCTCTTTCTGCATCCTCCTCCTCCTCTTCCTTCTCCTCCTTCCCATTCCTCCTCCTTCCCATTCCTCCTCTTGCCTCCTCCTGCCTGCTGCTGCTCCCCCTCCTTCGCCACTTCTTCCATGTCCTGCTCCTCCTGCCTCCTCCTTCTCCACCTCCTCATCATCTCTCCTCCTTCTCCTCTGGCCTCCTCTTCCTCCTACTTTGTCCTCCTGCCTCCTCCTCCTGGTGCCTCCTGGGGCCTCCTGAGACTTCCAGGGCCACCCCTGGGCCCACTGGGGCACTCTTCCCCTTCCTATTCATCCATCTCCTCCTCCTCCTCCTCGTCCTCGTCCTCATCCTCCTTCTCGTCCTGCCTCTTCCTCTTTCTCCTCCTGCCTCCTCCTGCTCCTGCCTCCTCCGAGCCTCCTCCTCCTCCTCGTCCTCGTCCTACCTCATCCTATCCATGTCATACCTCTTCCTCTGGCCTCCTGCATCTTCCTTGGTCCTCCTGCCTTCTCCTGGGGCCTCCTGGGGTCTCCCGTTGCCTCCTGGAGCCCGGCCTCCTCCTGCCCTGGCCTCCTCGGGTCTCCTGCATCCTTTGGGGGCCTCCTGCTGCCATCTGGAGCCTCCTGGGGCCTCCTGGAGCCTTCTGGTGCCTCCCAGAGCCTCCTAGGGCCCGGGGTACTCATGGGGCCTCCCGTGGCCTCCCGTGGCCACCTGGACTCCTGGGGCCTCCCATGGCTTCTGGTGGCTCTTGGGCCTCCTGCGGCCTCTGGGCCTCCTGGTGCCTCCTGGGGCCTTCTGACAGTCCTGTGGCTAGCTGAAGCTTCGGAAGGTTCCCTTGACCTGCGGAAGCCTTCCGAGGGCTCCCGCTCGACACTTCCTCGCGATTCACTCACTGACGAGGCTCCCGCTCGAGACTTTCTCCAGATGCAAACCGGGGGGGGGGGCAAACAGAGATGCAGTTACAGAATTTGGATGACCCCGCTCGGATTCCAACATGGAGGTGGGGACCCTATAGGTAGGGCGGATTCAGGCTGGAGGAGCCCGATTACCAATATGAAGCGCGCGCCCCATGGGGAGCGGGGGGCCCGGGGGGACCCGCTTAATACATCCTCACGGTGTGCCTTCTTGGGGTGGTTAAGTGCTGTTCTTGGTGGAAGAATCCGATGACCCGCTCGGATTGCCAACATGAAGCGTGGGTTCCATAGGGCGGGGCTCCCGCTTGAGACTTCCTCGCAGCTGACTCACAGACGAGGCCATTGCTTGAGACATCCTCACGATTTGCCCCCTGGGGGTGCTTCAAGTGTTATGCCTGGCATCGTGTGCCGATGACCCACCCTGATTACCAACATGAAGTGCGGGCCTCATAGGGCGGGGGCTCCCGCCTGAGACTTCCTCGCCATGAACTCACGAAGGAGGCCCCCGCTTGAGACATCCTCGCGATTTGCCCCCAAGGGGTGCTCGAATATTTTGCCTGGCAGCGATTGCCGACGACCCGCTCGGATTAACAATATGAAGTGCAGGCCCCATAGGGCGGGGGCTCCCGCTTGAGACTTCCTCGCCATTCACTCACAAACGAGGCCCCTCTTGAGACATCCTCACGAGTTGCCACCTTAGGGCGCTCAAGTGTTAGTTCTGGTAAAGTTTGCCGATGACCCGCTCGGATTACCAGCATGAAGCGCTTGCCCCGTAGGGAGGAAGTTCCCGCTCGAGATTTCCCTCAAGATGCGTATGCGAGTATGTGAGTGTGCATGGTGAGAGCGATGATGAAGATGATGGTGAGGTTGATGGTGATAATGATGATGGTGATGATAGTGA